TTACTTATTGTGTAATTATAAAAATTAATAAAAAAGAAAGAAACTTGGGAAATTTTGAAAAGTGAGATAATAAAAGCCCAGTCTAGCACAATACCAACAAAGAAGAAAAATAACAGTTCTCAAAAGAAACCAGCATGGCTGCATAAAGTACTCTCTGATAAATTAAAAAATAAAAAGGACAAGTATAAAAAGTGGAAAGAGGGGCACATAACTAAGGCAGAATATCAACAAATAGCACGAGCCTCCAAAGATGAAGTGAGGAAAGCTAAGGCTCAAAACGAACTAAAGCTTGCAACCAAAGTCAAAAATAACAAAAAAAGCTTCTTTCAACATGTAAAAAACAAGAAAAAAGTGAAGGAAATTATTGGTCCATTAGTGGGGGAAAGTGGCAAGAAGGTGACAAGGAACAAGGAGAAGGCAGAGCTATTTAACCAACCTATAAAAATAGTGCCATAAAAAACAGAATAGAAACACAAGTTAAGATAGGCAAGAAAATGGTAAGTGAGCACTTGTCCAGCCTAGACACGTTCAAATCACCAAGGTTCTCAAGGAACTGGCAGATGTGATCTCAGAACCACTGAACTATATTTTTCAAAGATCCTGGAGCACTGGGGAACTACCAATGGACTGGAAAAGAGCTGATGTAGTTCCCATCTTCAAAAAAGGAAAAAAAATGGACCCAGGAAATTACAGACCTATTAGCCTGACCTCAATGGAAAAGATAATCAAACAACGAATCAGCGAACACCTAGAGGCAAACAAAGTCATTACTAAAAGCCAACATGGGTTTGTCAAAAACAGATCATGCCAGACAAATCTTATTGCATTCTTTGACCAAGTGACAAAATGAGTGGACCAGAGGAATGGTGTGGATATAATTTACTTGGACTTCATTAAGGCATTTGATAAAGTAGATCACAACCTACTACTTGACAAGATAGAAAAATGTGGGGTAGACAGCATCACCACCAGATGGATCCGTAGCTGGCTGACTGGCCATACTCAGCGTGTGGTCCTCAATGGAACTGCATCTACATGGAGGGAAATGTTTAGTGGGGTGCCCCAGGGCTCTGTTCTAGGCCCAGTGCTCTTCAACATCTTCATCAACTATTTGGACAAGGGGATAAATGAGGAATGCATCAAATTTGCAGACAACACCAAGCTGGCAATGAATAGCCAACACTCCAGAAGACAGGCTTAGGATACAGGAGGATCTGGACAGACACTGGGCGCTATCTAACAAAATGAAATTAAAGCGTGAAAAAAAGTAAGGTTCTACATTTAGGCAAGAAAAACCAAATGTACAGGTATAGTATAGGTCAAGGGTAGGCAACCTTGGCTCTTTTATGACTCGTTGACTTCAACTCCCAGAATTCCAAATTCTCAAGCCAACAAAAGCCTTATCTAACAAAATGAAATTCTGTATTTAAGTAAGAAAAACAACACCCACAGGTATAGCATAGGTGGAACCTGGCTCAATACCATAGTAGTAATTGTGAGAGGGACCTTGGAGGTCTTCTGGTGGACAGTCACTTAAATATGAGCCAGCAGTATGCTGTAGCTGTCAAAAAAGCCAAGGCAGTTCTAGGCTGCATTAACAGATGGACAGAGTCAAGATCATGTGAAGTGTTAATACCGCTCTTTACTGCCTTCATAAGACCACACTTAGAATGCTGCATACAGTTTTGGTTGCCGCGATATAAAAAAGAACTCTAGAAAGAGTTCAGAGAAGAACAACAAAGATGATTAGGAGACTGGAAGCTAAAACGTATGAAGAATGGTTGTTGGAATTGGGCATGTCTAGTTTAATGAAAAGAAGGACTAAGGGTGCCATGATAGCAGTGTTCCAGTATCTCAAGGGCTGCCACAAAGAAGAGGGAGTCAAGCTATTCTCCAAAGTGCCTGAAGGCAGGACAAGAAGCAACGGATGGAAACTAACTAAGGCGAGAAGAAACCTAGAACTAAGGAGAAACTTCCTGACAGTTAGAACAATTATCCGGTGGAACAACCTGCCTCCAGAAGCGGTGAATGCTCCAACACTGGACGTTTTTAAGAAGAGACTGGACAGCCATTTGTCTGTAATGGTATACGGTTCCCTGCCTGAGCAGGGGGTTGGACTAGATGACCTCCAAGGTTCCTTCCAACTATTATTATTATTATTATTATTATTATTATTATTATTATTATTATTATTATTATTATTATTATTATTATTATTATTATTATATTGTTGCTAAACAAATGGCTGTAAATTGAGGACTGCTGGTAGTTTCGCCTTCTCAGCTTTAAGAGCCAGGGTGAGACAAAGATGAATGTGTAAGAGAGGAAGTGAAAAGATCCAGATTCTGGTCTCTACTCAGACAGAGAAGCTCCCCAGAGATCTACTAGCCAGGCACTTCCAGCCTGACTTACTTCACAAGGCTCTTGTGGGAGAAAAACACTTTGAGCTCCCAAATGGAAGGCAACATATAATCTAACAACTAAACCAGCAATTTCAGTGCTCTGAAACACGTCCACTGTTTACTTTCCCTAAGTAACTTCCATTGGTTTCCACACCAGGGACTTAAACTTGAAAGCATTTGCCAATAAGAGCACATTAGCCCAGAGGAAAACACAGTG